AATTACAAAAATATCTTTTTCTCAATCCAAAATGATGTCGTTTTGGGCTCACCGGAGATTAAGGGTGATAAATGAACCAGGGGACTTTCAAGGGGCCTTTGGTTTGGCTCGTGAAGGTCTGAGCTTACATGCCTAAAATTAGTTGTTAGAACCAGCTTGAACTTGTATAAAAGCTCGTTTAAAAAGGCCTGAGGCTCCAATTCAAAAGCTCGGCCTTAGAGCCTCTTAGGCTGGCCTAGTATATTAATTTTTATTTTTATTTTAACTTTTTATACTACTTGTAATAGCCCTCTTTCTCTCCTCAATCCATTTCATCCCATTTTATTGGTTAAACAGAATTTTTGAATGATTTTGTTCTATATTATGTTGTTTGGAGATACATTGAATTTATGAATATTTATAGAATTACTAGTCTTGTTGATTTTATATTTTGTTTGGATAAAATGTTGTTGTCTTATTTTTTTTAAACAGGCTAAATCAGGCTTTTATTTTTTGTAAATAAGTTAGACCACAGACCGATAATTATATTCAGAACAGGTAACAGGCTTGGTCAGGCTGACACATTTAAACATAAGTTGTGCCTTTTCAGACCAACGCTCGACTCGGCTCGGCCCGTTAACACCTCTACCGGAGATAAATTATCCCTATTGACTGGAGATATGCTAAACCCTTAAGGTGGTGTTTGGTAAGAGGTATATTTTCAGAATACTGGGGAAGTGAAGGTGGGCATGTATGAATCTCATGTTTGGTATCCCAATTGAGAAAACTTCCCTAGGAAAGCTATTTCCCCTGAATTCCTTTGACTGTGTAATTTTTGGATGAAAACCCTATGGAAGAATACCACCCAGAGGATGGGTATCCTTGAATTGATGGGGAAATGAAAAATATCATACCAAAAGAACCCTTACTTTATTTTTGAATCTCGTCGTCACCTACTAGCCACGACTTTCTTGTTATTTGCTGACATCTCTGTTTAAAGGAAAAGAAATGAGGGAAAAAAAAGATGTTGTAGTGAGAGTAGTTGAGAGTGATTGATTACCGTTTGTTTTCTAAGAAAGAAAAGCTTCGTTAATAAGAGCTTATGTTAAAATATCCTTGAATTGATGGAGGATCGTGGGGGTATATGAAAAAAATTAGCCTTTCTTTTACAACTGATAATATTTCTGAAAATGGAGTTGCTATGGAGGATGAGAAACATGTTCTGAAAAAAATTATTGATGAAGCAACTAAGGAGAACATAAACGAAGAAGTTAAAGTTGAGTGGAATGCAGAAATTCAGACCAAATGAAGTATTTGAACCTGTAGTAAAAGCTGAAGGCCCCAATTCTGCAGCAAGTAAAAGGGTTATTTTCGTATTTTTAATACATTTCCCCATCAATATTCTACTTTCAACCAAACATAGACTCAGTAAACTTAACCCAATTTTCCTGGTAATTTTTCAGCCTACCAAACAGCTTTTTTTACATTTTCCTACCAAACTCACTTTCCAACCATTTCCCTATCAATTACATTTCCCTAGTATTCAAAAAATTTCTCCTCAACCAAACGCTACCTAAAAAGCATCCTAAAAGTTATAGATCTAATATAAAACTTCATACATAACTAGTACCTACTCTCCGTGAACATATAATTATCATGGGAAAATTGTTTCTCATGTGTAACATGAGATAAAGTTATCTCCTGTAACTACAAAATGACATCGTTTTGGATATAGAAAATAATGTATGATACTTTGAAAATCTTATTTTCCTCTTGTATGGATTTTATTAATGTTATGTTCTGAAGATAGAAATATCTAGCCCAATAAACTAGTATGTTACTTTTGGATCTAGGTGTCATCTCTGAGGTATCTTTGAGTTAGATATACTAGAGTCAAGCAGATCACTGTGCACAGAAGAAAAATAAACAGCTTTCACCAAAGGGGTGGTACATATATATACACGTGACAACATAACAGTAAAAGAGAGTGTAGTTATACATGTAGGCTTTACCTCTTATTTATAAAGTTTAGCTGTGGGTATTAGATCTGGACCTTCCATGCCTTTTGTTGCAGCCCAAGCGCATGTGTACTGCTGTCGTATTAGGATTAATATCTTCGATTGATATCTCCCCTTAATTATATCATATTTATATTTAGATTGTCCCTTATTAGGCTTAGTGATAACTCGACCTCATATATGAGTCCATAACAATTAAAATATCCAATATTTATTTTTTCTATATCCCAAAATAACATCATTTTGATATTATATAAGATAATTTTATCTCGTATTGTGCCGGAAAAACAATAATCCCAATTATCATGGGTTCAAGCGACAACTAGTTTATTCTCATTGACTTGGGATCTTGAGTTTGAGTTTGAGTTTTGAAATGAAAATAATAGTGTTAGAGAGCCATCACCAATCATTTTTCTAAATAAGTTGTATACAGTTCATTTTAATGATTTCAAACTTTTTATGCCCTTTAATTTTAATTTTTTTTTTTTAGCTATCTTTACATCAATGTTCCAAATGATTTATATCTAAGTTCAAGTCTACTACACTTTCCATTTTCTAGTATACTATAAAAAAAGAAAAAAAAAAAAACAGACATGCACATGAGTAACAGCAAGTAGACGTTTATATATATATATATATATATATAGAAAGAGGTAGGATCCTTTGACACCGGTGTCAAATTTGAAATTTGACACCTCATCTGAGAGCCATTAGATCAAAAAAGATCAATGGTATCACATGCTTACAAATCAGAGTCGTTGATCTTTTTTTATCTAACGGCTCTCAGATGAGGTGTCAAATTTCAAATTTGACACTGGTGTCAAAAGATTCTGCCTTATATATATATATATATATATATATATATATATATGGGCAGGATATTCTTACACCGGTGTAAGAGTTAGAAGTCTTACACTCAATCTTATCATTATCCACTTGTATCCAATGACTCACATTACTGAAAAATTAGAGCCCTTAGATATAAGTGGAATCAATGGACAAGATTGAGAGTGTAACTTACCCTGGTGTAAAATGATCCTAACCCATATATATATATATATATATATATATATATATATATATATATATATATATATATATATTGGCACATACATTTTAGCTTTTATAGAGTTGAAAAACGATTGAAAATAATTGGCTCTTGAAAATGCCATAACTTTGTTGGGTGGTTAAGCTGTCTCGTATCATGTCTTGATTTCAAACGCATAATAATGATCATTTTCAAAGACAAAACCCCAAGTCAGAGGTGGTTTATTAATATTAAACTTTTGGGGATTTGAGGGTGGAAAATTTCAAGTTTCAAGTGGGTTTGGTTAAACAATTAGTCCTTACTGCTCAGTTTCCACTAATATTAGAGCCTTTAATTGAAATTTAGGGGTCGTGTCGCTGTTTAATTGGGTGCACATGTAAAATTACTGTTGATGATCGTGGCCGAGAACTCCACAGACAGGACATGTTAGCTTAGAATATTGGAGTTACGTTAACAACGATATATATACCAACTTGGATGAGTTTGGAAATTATCTAACCTTAGAATTATTTGAAACACAAGTCTCATGTTAAATTCTTATATCATGCTAGTAAAAAAACATTATTAATTGCAAAAATATTTGATTATAAATATTAATGCTTGAACAAACTATATTTAATATCCGAATTTTTTTTAATTATTTTAGACTAGTTGAAATTAGTTCTTTACTAAGTGCCTGTTTGGATCCTCCTTTTTTTAAGCTACAAGCTACTTATAAGCATAAGCTAGGCCAAACAGGTTTTGGGAGAAACTCTTATAACGAAAAGCTCTTTTTTTATAATGAAGAAAAAAGCTGAAAATTAAAAGCTCCTAGGAGGAGCTTTTTTTTAAGCTCTTATCTGTTTTTCTTGAATTGTGTGCTTTTTTTTTTAAAATGAAGAGTGATAAAGATATAAAGAGATAATTTTCTTGAAATATGTACTTTTAAGTAATTTTTAAGCTAAAACTTTTATGTAATTTCCAATTATTTTTTTAAGCTCTTTTTTTTAGCTTTAGCTTATAAGTAGCTTCTAGCTTAAAAATAAGAGGATCCAAACAGGCTCGAAGAAAAAAGCTGCAAACTAAAAGCTCCTATGAGGAGCTTTTTTTAAGCTCTTATCTTTTTTTCTTGAATTGTGTGCTTTTTTTTTAAATGAAGAGTGATAAAGATAGACAGAAAGATAATTTTCTTGAAATATGTGCTTTTAAGTAATTTTTAAGCTAAACTCTTTATGTAATTTCCAAACAGCTTTTAGCTTCTTTTTTTAGCTTTAGCTTATAAGTAGCTTTTAGCTTAAAATTAAGAGGATCCAAACAGGCTCTAAGAGTCACGAGGTAAGTGAATAAGAGCGATGCCAAATTTGACATTATGTGCTTGCTTGTTCTCCATGAGTTAGCTGAGGATGAAATTCAACAAAGTAAAAGTAGGAATCTCTCTTCAAAAATATGTACACTGCTTCAAAAGTAGTTCTAATTTTTTTTTTAATTCAGAAATATTTAATTAATGTTATCTTCATAGTTTTCACTTTTTTTATATTTAAATATTAGTTCGTTGATTATATTTATCAAATGCTTTATCCTTAACACAAAATTTCACTTTTCAATCGTCACTACTCTCTCATTCCATTCAATAGAATGCACGATATTCCTATTCTGAAGTCTGAAAAATAGTTTTAAAAAATAAATCAAAACCAACACCATCTTTTCATGTCTTATAAGAGTCCAGTATTGTTTCATCCATCCAAAGTTTCACATGTATCAGATCAAGGTTAAAATTGCACCTTATTTCAGCATTTATATGTCTTGTCTCCAGAAGACGATAACTATGTAATTTCCTAAATGTGAACCACTTATTTTCCTTTAAGGGCGAGAATGATCACCCAATTATACAACATCAAGTACAATATTACCTGTAAAAAAGAAGAAATGAATGATATAAGGATTGTCACCATGTATACGTCTGAATGCATGGAGTATATACTTATAACAAGAAAATGGGTGTATAGAAACAAGAAAGAATAAGCAAATAAAGTGCACGGTTAAATGGGTAGGGGTGCTTCTTGGGTCAAAATTATAAGAACTGATGATATCATGTACACTATACTAAACGGATATGTAAAGGGCATCTACCCAAATTAAATGGAGGACAATTAATTTTAAGAGAAAATGAGAAAGGGTAAAAAGATTGAGAAGAGAATAAGGATAGACATAACCCACAAAAATGAAGGATGGTCTTGTTTCTTCATCATATTCATTCTTGCTTCCCTGAAATTTTGCTTAGTGACAAAATGTGTTAATGGAGAACTTTCCCTCCTCTACTTTTCCTAGCTATGGGAAACAGGCAAACCAGCTCTCTCTGACCTACATGCTGCTTGGCCGGAAGACTTTTCCGAGCTGCGAACATTGTATTTTTCATATACCTTATCCCGGTTCTCTGACCACCAAGTCTCTGCTTGGTGCTCTCCGAATCTCCTCCGGCTGCAATTAAAAGAAAATTCAAAAAACTTAGTTTAAAGCCATAATAATCATGCATGAGTTTCAGGGACATGCAAACACCACAATCAGTGATATATTGACCTAATCAAAGGGGAATGGATCCTCTCATGTCACATGATGTCATGCTAGACAATCTCAGCCATCTATCTATACACAAATCAACAGTAACAAGAGACGAGAAGAAGAAAGCATTAGGATAGAGTGTAAAAGTGATGACAGTTGATTTGTCTATAAACGATTGAGATTGTCAAACATGGACTGATCATGTCAAATGAGAGATACCATGCAGAGTCTTCCCAAGATATAGAACTTGTTTAAATTTTAGCATAAGTATCAAAGAAAGAAAAGAGAGATTAACGCGAATAATATGAAATTAGTATTAATTTGAAATATTATAATGTGATATAATATGTTGTAAGGTGATAAAATGTGATACAAATTACCAAGCATTAATCTTTAATTATAGTACTATTATCCTAATTAAATAACAAAGCAAATCATCAAATATAAAGGAAAAAAAAAAAAATACTCCTAAAAGATCATATAAGATACTCTAAACTATTTTAAGATACAATTAAGATATTATAAGATATTTTTCATATGTTCCTAACATGATTATTACCAAAGCAATGGCCTAAGAGTCAAGATCATAGTTCATTTCATATTTATTTTATTCCACAATCCCTATTATCACTGATCATCATCACTGGTCAAATATTACTGAGGTTTAGGTTATTTAAAGATGGACATCAAACTATACCATTAGAACCAGATCAAGAAAACCTGGTTATGTGGAGGATTTTTTATTATTACCTGAAGCGCACTCGCTTCAGATCCCTTGTTCCATCATGCAGGGTCACAAGTGTTATATAGACACCAGGTTCATACTGATCAATCCATTCCGCTTCAATTTGAATATTATAAGCAGAAGGTGCAGGATTCCTCGATCTCAAACCACTCTCATCGTCATGGAAATGCCCGGAATCCCTACCCTCAACTGTATCTGACGTGCTACTGCTGCTTCTTGCCTGAATCACACCATCACCATTTGGCAATCTAACATCTGGATGATTATTAGTCCCATTAGAGGTCGCAAGGCCCCGGATTTGCTGGTGAAGATTAGTTACATTGGTTCCTGGCGAATTCCCCACAGTTCTATCCAACAGTGAGGATTCAAGTCCTATGGAGGCCATACTAGAGCCACTGATTAACTCTGCCCTCGAGTGCTGCTCGCTGTTTGAATCTGAATATCGGACGGCATTTGGCTCATGACCATTTGATAGGGAAGCTGGTCTAATGTTCTCATCATCATAAACTCCAGGAGGAAGCTTCTTAGTCAGATCTTTGAGCTGAAACAATGTGAATGAACAATCAGTGTGAGTGTAGAACAGCAATACTATCAGTATATGCAAGAGGAAGGAAAATGTGGGGAAATTTACTCTGAATAAGACAAGAGTAAACAGTATACAATGAGATGTGGACCTCTATGCATGTGCGTGTGTGCATCAGAAATTGTTCCTAAGAATCTTGAACGATAATAAGATCATAAAAGATAATTGTTCCTAAAAATCTTGCTGCTTTCAGAAATTTTATAAAAATAAATTCCGATTTGATGGATGGTTTAATCTGGAAGTCCATTTTACTCAAATGAAAACGAGGAAGAGTTAAAATAAAGCTAGAAATAATAAAGCACCACGTGAAAATAAATCATTTCAAAGACATCCAGCTCCAAGAGAAGTAAATTAACCAGAAAATAACCTGTGCTGTAAGTGACTTTATAACTTCCTTTGTAGCTTCAGACTTAGAAGATTCCTCAGCAGCCAGGGCCATAGCTTCTTGAGTCTTTCTTACTGACTTTTGAAGCTCTGATTCTTGCAGTTCACATCTCTGTCTCAGGCTCTCGACCTAATCATATCTACATTAGACTTCTCTTGAACCCATAAAAAGTAAAAAATACAGTATATAATCATAAACATGTGACATTAACTTTTCTAGCAATATAAGCAAAGTGACATCACTTTGCTCATGTTTCACAAGGTTCATTTGCAAGGCTCAAAATGGCAGGGAAAAAATTTAAATGGCTGTCAGTGTCAACGAAGAGAAACTTCTACAACTTGATTCACATGAGAGAAGGAAAGTAAAATGTACCTGAGCACATAACTTCTGCACTTCTTGATTTAAAAGTTCATTGGTTTTATTCAAACTATCAGCAACATTTTTGGAGAACGAAAGTCCCGATGTTGTTGGAATCGGGGTAGCCGAACGAGGGGGGCTTGGTCTTCTAGAGAAAGGAGACACAGACCTGGAACTTACTCCAGATGGTGCAACCACTGGTCTTGGAACTGTTCGTCTCAGATCAACAGCAGTGGACAAGACAACATCTTTCAGCTGTAGCAAAGAAGGTGCTTGTAAGGTGCGAACCAGTGAGAACGTATCGGCCTTCTTTCCTTGTTTGGCTGCCTTGCTATCTAGCTGCTTTATCAAATCCATATTAGAAGGAATTACAGACTTGGACAATTTCAGCTCAGACCTGTCTAACCTGTCCTTGTTTTCACCTGATAGACGAGGCAAAGCATTCCTCCGATTATTATTGCTAGTTTCTGCAACTTTGTTCAATTTTGCATGACAAGAATCACACACGCGATATGGCTTGCCCGGATCAGGAGCCAGGGCTGCTCTCAATGCTTTCCTTGAACTGCATGAATGGCAGTGAACAAGTCCACAATTATAACAATTATGCCTCTTTCTGGTGAAGCCAAATGTCTGTCTACAAGCAGAGCACTGAGACTGCTCAGCACCAGATACCCACTTATGAAGGCATACGGCAGCAGAATAGCATGAACCACATGCAATATATTTCACATGTCTATCCTTCAATGCTTCAACCAGAGTTGGTGTTTTTCTATCTTCAATATCTCCATGACCCAATCTCCCATTTGCACCCTTCCCCCAAGTATAAACTTCATTTTTTGATGTTAATACAGCCACATGATATGAACCACATGCAATTTCTTCTACGAAATCCCCAGCAATCTTGTCTCCAACCAAGCATGGCAGTTTTCCATCAGACTGGGGATTCCCAAGCTGACCATAAACAGTACTTCCCATAGTAAAAACACGTCCAGATGTTGTCAGGCCTACCGTCAAACTGTGCCCACAAGCAATTTTATGAAAATTGTAATCGATAAGCGCAGGCACACAAGTAGGTTCAAGCCGTGCCTCCTTGTCCCCATGTCCGAGGCGATTTTTGTCTCCATCACCCCAAGTAAATAATTTACCTGATGATACACTAGCACTGGATTGTGTTGCAATAACCTCTACAACAGCTGCAGTATGCCACACTCCACATGCAACAGCTATTGTCCTCAACCCTGATAAGGATTCCACTTCTCTAGGATATGAAACATTTTCCCTATCTCCATGGCCCAAGACACCAAATGTTCCATCGCCAAATGTAAAGAGCTGCCCAGTTGAAGTTATCAAGGCTGTATGCCATGGACCACAAGCAACAAAAGCAACCTGAAGTCCCTCCAATGGACCTGCAATTCTCTTTGGTATCCAATGACTAACATCAGTGCCATGACCAAGAAGCCCAGCATTATGAGTACCATCACCCCATGTATATAGTTCCCCAGCCATTGTAACAGCACAAGAATGGAACTCTCCACAGGCAACAAAATCAACAGTTGTAGAAGCCAATGCTTCAACTAGACGAGGTTGAACCACATTCTTCCCAACACCATGGCCAAGGCGTCCTCCCGATTCTTCCCCCCATGTAAAAACTTCACCTTGCCTAGTGACAAGAGAAGAATGTCTAACACCACATGCTATACGTTGTACATCCAGAACTACATTTGATTCCAGTGGTCTGGGGAGAAGCACATCTGCCCCCAGGCTGAAATAATTGACATTTTTATCAGCACCAACTCTCAGGTTTTCACATATAACCTCCCCCCATAAGTATACATCTCCCAGAGCATCATACTCATCAGGTGCAGATCCATGACTAGATGTGCTAGGGGCACTTGACACACTAACACGAACAGCATCTGAACCAGATCCTTTTACTTGCATATTTGTTGGGACTGATGGTGCATGTGACCTTTCAGAATTTAAGGTATTGTCAGGGCGAAAGGACTTTGGTGAAGTATTTGGAAGACTCAGAGAAACGTCAGGAGAACTGATGTCTCTTGATGCACTGGTTGAACTTTCACTTGTTCTATTTGATGTCAAGTCCCTGGTATCCTGAAATTAATTGAGCCAGAAAGAATTATAAGCAACTAACCAAGCATTTCATCAGGAAGCTATCACAATTCACACAGCATAATGGCATCATTACAAGTACAGGAATTTGGAAAACTTCTAATACAATCAGTTCAAATTTTCACAAAAAATCACATCATAGAAAAATTGAAGCAGCCACAATCAATTTCACCTAATAATGGCCAAAGAAGAAGCTAAGTGAGTGGAAGTCTGTCAAAGAAGAAAAAAAAAAAAACTGTAGTATATATCCTTTCTGGTTAAGGGCTACTAATTGAGAAAATAAGGACTAGCTTTGCTTAGAGTAAACTAATGAAGAAAATAAATTCTATCCATCTTGATTAGTCCAAAACTTGTATTTTAAGGAAAATGACGAAACATACAACTATTAGCTCGAGACTAAGATTTACTACCTTTCCAGCTTCTACATATAGTACAAGAACATAACACAACTAAATGAATTTAACTACAAAGACTAACAGTTGGTGTATTTACATCAAGATTGAGGCCCCCATCATTCCATCCATCAATTTTGGACCGATCACCTTGCCCAGAAGATATCAGTGCTTTGAGACCACCAATCCACACTTCTGCCTCAACTTTATCTTTGCAAATCTGAAAAGCAACACAAAGAAATTATTATAACAATATAAAATACAGAAAATGAAAACAAAATAATGATGCAGATATTCACGGAATTATATGATGTCACTAACCAAATCAAGGGATCGCTTTCCGTTATTATAAATAAGTGAAAAAGACAAATAGTCCTTCTCAGGGCGCAGAAAACGTTGGAAAACAGCCTGCCAAAAGATTAAGAAAAAATAAATACAGAGCAGAGAAGAGTTTGTTTATTGAAGAATTTTTTGAAATCCTTTGTTAATCACAAAAAAATCCATGGCACTGTATGATATTAAATAGAATTGCAGAAATCTCACAGTTCTTTGTCCAGGAATAATTCTCGACACAGAAGATAGCTTCAGACTTCTTTCTCCACTACTTGAAATCCAGATTAAAAAAGATTCATCCTGCAATTTTTAGATATTTTAATTAGTACACATAGAAATAAGTGTAAAAAATCATGCCTACTACTGTATTATACATGAATGTTTGACTTCATAGTCTACAACCAATGAAGTGCATAAAAGACGCATTTTTATTAGAATTCATGAATACAACTATAAAAGCATGCATCAAATAAGAAATATGTTTGTCCAGAAATAAAGCTACAATACCACTACTAATTAGTAGTAGCACTAATTACTAAAACGAGGAAATTAGGCTACTCAAGTAACAAGTCAATATATCTGACCTGAATCTAACAAAAATATTTCAATTTTTTATTTATTTCACAATTTATTAATTGTATTCCTCAAGTGATTATAATAAATCTGAAGCAGCTAAAAACAACAAACTGCCAGGTTCCCTATAAACTATTGCATCCATTACTAATCCTAAAAATAATCCTAAGAATATTTCATTTTTTGAAACAGAAATATAAAAAAAAAAATTCAAAACTAATCCAAAAAATACATAACTGTATTATTCTGAACTGAATCCAGTGCATGGTAAAAAAAAAAAAAAAAAAGTAATTTCGAACCCAATCCTAAGATTATGTAAATAATAGAACCTAAAGTGTGTGCAAAACCACAAAAATATGGATAGTAATAATAAAAAATGTCAAGAAATCTACCACTAAAATGCAGTGATGAACCCAGAGAAATCCCTATGCCAACTCGTATTTATTTGAGCCACAAAGTGAAATATCGCAGAGTATTAAAATTAAAAGACATCAAGTTGTAGTAATATCTAGGTTATCAACGATGCGCTATTGATCCACTATCACATTGTAGCAGCCCCCTCCGCAATTTTTAGCACTGCTACGATTTGGAGTAGTGTCTTCAATAGAAGCCAAGACTGCAGCAAATCGCAACGGTACAGTGAAGGAAGGGTGAATCCCCTCTTTGCCTGTGTGTGCAGTGTCCCATGTGAAATTTAAGAGGCAAAATTGACTTTTAACCCCCTTTTTTATCTCATATACAACCCTATCAAGCTGTCTCTCTCCACTCACTGCTCTCTCTTCCTCGACTTTTCCAGCAATCTCACCACTTGCCGTTGGTTTTCCGGCAAGCCCACCACACCACCACGTGGATCCGTCTCCAGCCAAAGGTAGTTCCTCTGTTCCAGCAAGCTTCTTCAACTGTTCTAGCAGTTCCTCTGTTCCTTTGTTCCAGCAAGCCCATCCACGATGTGGATTTCACTGTAGCATGCTGTACCACTACCTGCTATCTCACTATAACTATTTTTGAATCGGCTGCTATGCGATGCTATCTGAAAATAATAATTATGGTAGTCTTCTAATCCCTATCTAGTAAAAAGGTACACAATGGTCATAAAAAAATAGAAAATTTTAGGACTGAGCTATGCATTCCGGTCAACACATTAAAGTTAGTCAGAGATCGCAAATTAATAGTCAATCCCTAACGGTGAAATGGAAACACAAAGCACACACAGTCTGTCAAATTTAATCCCATTAAAGAACAACGGTGCCTTATCATAAATAAGGCACATAAAATATTAAAAATACAAATTAAAATTATTTTCATACTATTTTACTCATATAATTAAATCATTAGTACTCATTCAAAAGAAACTATCTTTCATAGTATAATAATGTAGCACATATCATTTAAGTATTGTCCAACCAGGCAGTTAATAAGGTAGACTCCACAAAAACATTCCTGAAACAGCTTTCATTTAACTTACATTGGAAAGTCTAAATGGACAAAACTTGGGCTTTCCCTTACGACCATACTTAAGCAGTTGAGCACCCTTTTTCAAAGCAATCAATGCCTGACAATGAAAATGTAACATTGTAAACCACAAAAAATATCAAACAGACAGAACAGAATTAATATAAGAAAAACAGCAGATAGGGAGGAATGAAGAAGAAGAAGAATTTAAGCCATCTTATATATTAAATGCTGAGAGGTTCCATTAGAAATCCAGTATATTACAACATTGATTCAATTTCTATGAAAAACCTATCTCTCTTCTTTCTTAATATTGTGACCAAAATTACAGGTCAGAGACTACAGATAATTTTAGGTACACATTCACTGTTGTCCAAATAATAAATAAAACACTGTTGCTGGCTCAATTTCACTAGATGAATTCTAATTTGGTCAGCTTCCATTTAGAACTAGATCATTAAAGCTTCAGACAGTGCAATCAATCCTTAAGGTGCACAAAAGCTTCTATGAAGACAAAGGTGCTAAAAATAAATATAATAACATATACAAGGTTCAATATCCTGCTTAAAACTATCCAAGGAAGCTATAAAATGCTGCACTATCAACATGTTATCATTAAATATGGCATCAAAAGACATGTACTTACTTAGCTGTTAATTGTTTAAAACCAAGCTACCCGTAATACATCTTGCATACCAGTATGTCTCCATATTTTAGATTCCCCATTTCATGGCAATTCAGAAAGCATTAAATCGTTTTATCAACTAAACTCTAAAAGGGTTGAAAATAACACTTTTTATTGAGAACAAGACGAAACTTCTAACACACTAATTTACTCGCCATTCCTTCTCCTCATATCCTCATCTCCCTCAAATTCCCCATGTATCATCCCATACAAAACCACATGCACCCACCATCATAACATTCTTAGCCAACCAAAAAAAAAAACACATTCAACTATTTCCCAAATTATAACAAAAACTAAAACAAAGAATCAAAATTTCACAAAAAAAATGGAAATTTTCACACCAAATTTGTAACCCTCCCAGAGAGAAAGACAAGGAACCTACTTGCTCGAGGTCACGGTCGGCATTTCCGTAGCTAGCAAGATCTGCCATTCCATGTGAGAGATTCACCTAAACGCCACCACCCTCTCCGATCGCTGACCGGAGCTCCGGTCATCATAAAAACTCCAACCTCTTCTTCTCCCCACAACCATTCACCTTCACATCAAACCAAAACCTCTCTCTCTCTCTAAAAAAAAAAGAAACCCACTTCTTATTCTCGCTCTAGAATGCAAAAAAGGCTTCACGGATCTGCTTCTCTTCGCAGAAACTCAATTGACCATTCCAAGTCAAAGACCACACCGGTTTTTCTTCTTCAACTCACGAGCCTGACTCGGACCGTGAAAAAAACGGCTTTCCGAGCCGGTTGAACAGCTCTCTCAAAAGGGTAGTGGTGGTTCGCGGAGGAAGAGCGGTTTCGAAGAGAAATTCCGGCGACGAACGCAGGCTCGGGGCGTGGAAGACACAAGAGAGAGAAAGAAAAAACAAAACACTGAATAAATGAAGAGTGTTTTGAAAGAATCGGAGTTTGTAGAAGTACAACTAGTCAAAGGTGAAGAATATGAATAAAAAAGTAAAATAAATTAAAAATTTCCGTTTAAATCGTTAAAGTTGTGAAACATGTAAATTGTAAAACCCATTTATATAATGATTTTTTCGAATGAGATCTATTAATCTCATGTTATCTCATGCAATAGAGATAAGATTGTGGGGTAATTCTCTCACTATTTTATCTCTGTCATGCAACATGTGATAATTATTTTCTTAAAATAATTTATAAAATACTAGATATAAGCATAAACTCTCGTGAGAAATTAAAGTTAAGCCACTAAGAGTTAATGTAATGGTGAGAGATTTAAGTACTTTACAAGAGTTTATAGCTTCAAGCTTTAGTGTTATTATGGTATTAAAAAAAATAGTTAATAATTTCATGTACACTTATAAAAGTATGTGGGTACATGTGTTTTCTTTCTTTTCTCCTTATATGGCTCTACATGAGCTTTATATATTTTTATATATGTGTAAGAAATAATTTTATCTCTTACTACATTATGAAAGACATTGAGCTCTTAAAAAAATTGAAGTTGAAATGAAATGAAAAGACGAATCCAAAATATAATCCCTTATTTTTCCTTCAAAATAATGACATATAATATTGTCCCTATATTTTGCTTATTTTATCTATTTATTTTTTATTCTGTTAGATCAAAATCTCAAGATAAGAGAAAAATAGTGAAGATTAGTTGAGATTTTGATATAATAATATAAAAATGAGTAAGTAAAATAGATATAAAAAATGAGAGAAGTTATACTTACTACCTTTTTTCTTATACTTCTTACTACAAAATCTTAACTATTGATTTTCGTCAATCTAACGGTTATATTTTATTGAAAATTAATAATTAATTAATAAATATGATATAATAAATTATAACTGTTAGATTGACGAAAATTAACGGTTAAGATTTGATAATAAGAAATACTAAGAAAAAAAGTAATAAGTATAACATTTCCAAAAAAAAAAAATAAGTACAATTTTCTATCCTAAAAATTATTATTTAGTTAAAAAATGTTTTGTTATTTTGGTTTTTTTTTTTTTTTGGTAATGATTTTCATGCTTGGGTGGGAAGCATGTAGATGTTTTGGTAATCCGAGGGGGAGGGGGACAGAGCTGGTAACATTTTTTTTTTTTTTTTTTTAAGACAGTAACTTAACATTGATGTTTGGCTAACGTTGTAATAAATGAGAAAATGACAAAATAAAAAACTGTAGTTTTGTAATTTTTTAGGGGAAAAATATATTGTGATGTATATAATCATGGTAAGTTGGTAATGTAATTTCTTATATATGAAATTTATCTGTTTTCAAATTTATATATAAATTGTTTAGTGTCACACTAAGCTTTTTTATATAAATTTATTGGCAATATAGTATTTCGCATATTAATTTTTCTTGATAAATTTATATATTATATTTTGGGAAAAGTGTTTAAATAATACAACTTGTGATTTATCAAAAAAATAATAATAATAATACAACTTGTGTCATTTCACTCTCACAAAGAGGTGGGACCCACACCTTTATATTTTTTTGTCTCCTCTCTCTCTTTCTTTATCTGTCTCTTTCTCTCACTTAAAATGACACAACTTTACATCCTTTAAAATGATACACACTTTTCCCTTGTTTTTTAAAACATTATCAACTAGGCTTTCGTTTGCTTAGCCTGACACTAGGATTGTGCAAAAAAATTGGTTCACTTGTTCTGTCCTTGATCCATAAATACCTATTTTTTTGAAATGGGTTTAAATATTGACCACTTTTATTTAGGTCAGTTTTAGACCTGACTTGTTTTAATAATTACCCAATGATCCAAAACTTGACCTACACCCATTATGTGAAAAAAAAAAGAAAAAAAAATCACAATTACATTAACAGAAAAGTTATAACGTAAAACAATTATGTCAAAAAAATTTACGGAAAATATTTCCGTAAAAAATTTTCGCAAAAAGTTTTGACGAAAAATATTTTCATTAAAATTTGTAACTAAAGGCATTTCTGTAAAAAAATTTGACGAAATTTTTTTTTTACAGAATCTAAATTTCATCAAAATATTTTAAAAAAAATATATTCATCAAAAATTTTGACGAAGCACATTTCCATCGAAATTTTTTGACGGAAAAAATTTCATCAAATTTTTTTACAGAATTTAAATTTGGGCGAAAGTTTTTGACGAAAATATTTTCGTTGAACTTTTTGATAAAAAAAAATTTTTGTCAAAATTTTTAGCGAAACACATTTTCATCAAAAAAATTCGACTAAACATTTCTATCAAAATTTTCAACGGAACACATTTCTGTAAAACAATTTTGACAAAAAATATTTCTATAAGAAAATTTTAAATGTATTAAAAAAACAAAAGAATATAATATAAAAAAGAAAAGAAAAATTGAACATACTAAAAAAATAAAGTATTTTTTTGGGTCCTCAACAAAAATTATGAGACCCAATTTATTCTCTTAGAAAAATAAGTGACTCGTGATCTCTTTGAATTTTAAAATAGACTCATTTTAATCTTTTTGAGGGATTAATGTAGGTCTTCTTTGAATTTTAGAGAGATCACGATTTCGACTAACCGGTTCTATTTTGAAATTCAGAGAGACCGAGAGTCAACTTTTATTTTTCTATGAGTTTAAATTGGGCCATGTAATTTTTGTTGAGTACTTAAAATATATTTTATTTTATTTTCAAAAATTTATGTGTGTACTTACACCCACTTGCAACAATAGAGTTCCTCTGTTTGGTGTAGGGCCATCAACAATTGAGAGTTTTTTTATGAAATTTTTTTATTTATATTTTTATTTATGTCCTAAAATTTTTAAGAGAATCACCTAATTATTGATGGTTCTGGATTATTGAAATTTTTCTTCTTCTGTTAATGAAAAATTAGGAATAGAGATAACGGAAGTATGAGAAATAAATATTTTTATTTAAGTTTTTACCTGATTTTGATTCATATTATGTATCTTTTTTATAATCATTAAATAAATAGGGATTTATGAATGTTTATAAAGATTCTATAAAAATTTATAAAGATAAATATATGTGAAACTTTTACGTGATTAAATCTTAGTCATAAAACATTCTCAGATAAAAGGATACTACTAAATAAGTATATAATTTCTTACTATCGTCTTTATAACGGTCAAATTAATTTTAAATTAAATCTCTTAGAAAATTCTTTGATTCGCATCTCGTCTCATTGATTCACTTTGACTTTTGTTAGGAAACGAAAAGGGCACAACTTCCGGATGAAATCAAATCATTTGTTTTTCTATTATTTTGTGGGTTCGTTTTTTTTTTTCAGTTTATGCAGATAAGTTATCTGCAGTAAGTCAATACGATGTTGTTTTGGGACGGAAAATCATGGTATTTTTGTAATTTTAATTTATTTTAGGGTTATAATAGTCTTTATATTTATAATTTTTTAAGATTTCAATACCAAAACAACGTCATTTTTGGAATAAATACAGATAACTTCTCTGCATTAACTGCACAAACATTTTTTCCTATTTCTTTTCATGTCAGTTAAAAAAAGAAAGAGTGAAAAAAATAAGAAAATAAAATAAAGAAATGTGAAATAAAAATATTTAAAAACTCAAATAATACTCAATTACAATTAATTCAAAACGGTCAAATCTGTCGGACCTGTCCTATGGTGAGGATTTTAAATTCTAGAATCCTAAATTCTAAGAAGGGATATATCATATGTCATCTCAATATAGTGAGCCAACAATAAACCAAATTTCATTTTTAATTTGTTTTTATTTAATAATTTGATCCTTTTTTATTTTTTAATACTAAAAAAAAATCAAAGGTGAATAAACTCTGAATGTATTATATATGAAACGTAGCGTTTTATCCGGGGCATTGTACATGGTGAATTTTTATTTTTTTTATATGTATATGTATATGTATATGTTGTATATATTTATTTAATATTAACAATTTAAATAGTTTTATTAATATTACAATTGGATTATATAAAATAATTTAATATAACTTATCATAGTCAGTAACTTGGTATTTTGATATTCCTTTTTAATATAAATTGTTTTTGAATCTTATTCATTTATTGATATAACAAAATTTTAAAAGATAGTTAACGGTTATTAAAGAAATTGAAGACTTGCTTACCAAAAAAAAAAAAATTTGAAGACTTCATTACTATTCTCTCGAGCTTAATTTTTTTTTTTAATACACACGTAGACTTGAAAGTAGAGTTAACAAAACCGGACGCGGTATTGCATGGATGATGTAAACAACCTTGGGAAGTTGAACTCGGAAAACTTACTACTAAGCCAACCTATTATATTTCTTCTATTGTCATATTTTTTTTTATACTTTTTTTAATTATATCTTATTCTAATCAAGATTGTGTTGTCAACTCAGTATATGTCCATTAGTTTCTATAGTTAATATACACGGGTTTACTTTTTCTAGAGTCATTAGATAATTTATTTACATTGACCTCAAAATATTATTATTTTGAGATAAAAATCAAAGTATTTTAATAATTATAATTTGTTTCATGGTGATATAATTTTTTTATTTTAATTTTTTAATCCAAAACGACATCATTTTGGAAGCGAATGTAAATAACTTATCTATATTCACTGTAAAAACATTGAAGCCTTAATATATATTATTATATAACTTGGAAATGGATCATATCATGATGAAATTTTAAACTTGCCTGAAAAGATCATGTGAAATTTTTGTGTATATTTCTTTCTTCGTTAATAATAATTTATCCCCACATATTTAATACAAGTGAAGAGAGACGTTAACGCAAAGAGGATGTACTCTAAAATAAATTAAGTTAAAGCGTTATGACCTATCAATTAAACCGGTATGCATAGATTACCAAAAAAAAGAAAAAA